TCTGGCTCTCCAAAATCGAGGTTCTTTCCGGACCAACAACCGGGCTGAGTATGCTAAACTAGTGAGAGAATCGCTGGCAACTACAACAAGATGAACATATTTTACCGTGATTTAATTGTAACACGTTTCAAAATGATGCCGAAGTAAAAACATACTGATACCGGTTAGTAAAAACCATGAATTGATGCTTTGACAAGTCTGAATGGAGATCGGCTAAGCTAACGCAGTATATGCTCCAACCGTCCACACTCACATCAACGGCCTACAGACATAAATAAACCAGCGACTGTATTCTCCATGACACAGACAGTCTGTGGTTTGTATTTGTTTAACTTTTGTCTAGTTTCTGAACAGATGTGAGGAGCTGTGAGCTCTGAGGGCTAACAGCTAACGGCTGATGTTGGTTTTGTGTTTCGCATTGAAGATGACGTCACGGCTCCGCCTACACTGCGTTACTATAGTTACTACCCCAGTTCCTAAATTGTAATGGAAACGCAGCATAAAGTGAGCCTGGCCAACCAAGGCCTAACTATACCGTACTAAGCCGTGCTAGGCCTTGCAGTGGAAATGCGCCATTAGTTCTGCTGACAATCCTAGAATAGTGACCCAAACACTATGCCATCATTTGAAAAAGGAAGAAAAACAACATATTCAAAAAGCAACAGAAAAACAAACCTGATGCAATGCGTAGCTAATCAGCACTATGCCGTAGTAGTAAACAGGGAACCCTCCATCTTGTTTTAAACTGGGGGTCAACCACACCAGCAGAGCGTACCCCAGTCCTATGAGCAACCTGAAAGCACAAAACCATACGATATGACACGATAATACTTTATGTCAGAGCAAGTCTGAAATGTGCATCACAGCAGCTCCATTTGCAACATAATCAAGAAAAAGTACTAAGAGAAGATACAAGGAAACAAGCAGCAGCACTCTGTTATTTGTTATTTTATTTAATGCTAGTGCATGGGTGTGTGTGCTTGTACCTAAAAGGAAAGGCCTTGTAGAAGACATCCAGGGGTCGGGGCCCCGCGGTGTATTTACTGATGATCACAGGGAGCAGGATCTGCAGAGGCACCATGGGCACTGCCAGCAGGGCCAGCTGCTCTTTAGGGACTCCAGCCTCCACCAGCTTCAGACCTGTGACTGCGTCCGCTGCAGAGAAGCCGATCTGAAACAAAGAGAAATCTGTTAATCACAACATATGTTCACGGTAAGAACAGGCAACACTCTCAAAGTCATATTTCAAAAAGATAAACCAAGTGATGGTGAAGTACTTTGGCAGTGAGAAGCAAGGCACAGAAGGTGAAGACGGTGGGCATCTTGATGATGTTGAACAGCAGCTTGTAGGTTGCCATGACGCCCTGTGTCTCCTCTTGGACTTTCTTCTTCCCTTTGCCCTGCTCGTTTTCCTTTTTCATGATGGCTACCAACGTCGTGGAAACCAGGAACACTATCCCCCAGAAAAACAAGAAGTCTGCACAGAAGAAAGACAGCATTAGAGACTTCATTTAACTCAAATTCCAATGCAAGGGTCAAAAAGTGAATATGTTTCTGGTAAGTTTATGTCAGGGATATTTTATACCTGACAGGGTCACGATGCCTGTGTCCTGGGGCTCTGTTCTGAGGTATTTGTTGCAGAAGTCTGCAGACTCCAGAGCCAGAAAGAGCACATTCCCTAAGAAGTATCCAGCTGTCTGGCCCACAGAGTTGCATGTAGAAGCATAGCCCACATTCTCCCGGGACAACATAGTTAGGGCCCAGCCGTCCACAGCGATGTCCTGAGAGGCCGAGACGATACAGCCAATGGAGGCAAGATTCAAGGCTTTTATTGTCATGTGTACATCGCTATAGTGTAGTTATGACAATGAAAATTGTAAATAGAATTGAATATAATAGAAAGTGCAGAGTAGTCTATATACAAGTAATTGGAAAGTTGATATATATATATAAGTTGCAAACAGATGAATGTTATGGATGTTCTTTCAAAAGTTCAGGTGTTTAACAGTCAAAGAGAAACCATCAACTTGAATGTATTTATCCTCCAGCATGTAGGATCATGTCACAGTGATTTCCTACCTGTGTGGCTGCCAGGAAGGCAAGCATGAAGAAGACAGCTGTGAGCGTTACCACTTTTGGTCCTCCCTCACTCTGCAGCAGGGAATTGACCGTCACAGAGAGGTAGAGCATGAAGAGGCCCAGCAGGTACTGTGTGGGAACCAGCCATGACTTTCTGCAGAAAAAAGGTGAAAAAAAATACGCAATTTACGAAAGAGGGGCGGCAAATCAACACAGATGAAAACAGCAGCATGAACACGTCATTCTTACCTTCTACCAAACCTGCTGAAGTAGAGCGCGTCCACCAGCGGCGCCCAGAGGAGCTTGAGACTAAATGGCCAGAAGACAAAGCTGAAGAAGGCCTGGTCCTTGTAGCTGACGCTCTTACTCTGTAAAATCAGAGGGATGCTCCCCGCCAGGCCCAGAGGAATCCCCTGCAGCACGTACAGGAACAGAAGGAGCAAAACGTTCCCCAACTCTCCACGGACCCCAGCAGGCCGGACCCTGTGCCTCCTGTCCTCAGAGTCAGACCCTCTGATGAGACCCTCCGCTTCCTCCTCTAACACCGGATCAGGAGAGCTCATCTCTACCCTGTCCATGTCCGTCATGCTGTCAGATGAGAGGGCGCTCCCCGCCACCTTCCTCTGGCGCCCGTTCTTGTGTGTCATAAAATCAGAGTGCTCCATCTTGGAGCAGTGGGCATCAAACCCGCTGTGCCCTCAGGAAATCTGCAGAATAAAGATCATTATAATAATACCAATAATAAAAAAAATGCTTTCCCGGTGCTCAAAGTCGCTTTAAATAATATAGAAATACAATAATATAGAAATAATATAATAAAAAAAATTTCATAGAATATCATACTTTTTTTTTTTAAATAGATGAAAATAAGATACTCAAACATCTAAACTGAACGATATTTCACTACACGTTTTTAAAGCTACCATAAATCAACCTTTGAATCCCATTTTTTTGCACTGTCATCATGACAAAACCACAGAACCTCCCAGACAGACAAGCAAAGATACAAAGACGACAACAATATGCAATACCGTATTGAATACACAGGTTTGTCTAATGACAGCAAACAGCAAACTGGATAAGTGGAAACATGCATTGAGCTACATTGAGCGCTTGACTACATATAAATAATTGCAAGAAAACTTGAGTTTTGGTGAAAATTGAGTTTCTGGAATGATGACCAGCAGACTAATATATGATATAGTGCTTAGCACAGTGCACATGGCAAGAGGAAAGGGCAAATACAGAGAATAATTAATTATTTAGTGATTATTCGGGTGAAAGGTGACTCTTCCAAGGACTCACAAAAGATCCAGGATATTCTCAATTTAAAAAAATGCTCATTACAGCTATAGCTTTGTATTTATGAGCTTAATAATTCAGTTTATTTTTTTTTGTATGAACTCTCCCACGTAAAGATGTTTTCTTTATTACTTAGTTATTACTAAGCTATGTAAATCCCTACCAAAGGCTATAAGAGATGCAGGCTTTGTGAACATATTTAAATGAAAATTGACTTTTGTTAAATGAACTAACTGTCTCTTCCTTCTTATCATTCTTACACTAACCTTTTGTTTCAGTATTTTGTTGTTGTGTTTAATGGGTTTCTGTTATTCCTTTAATTGCTTGGTCTTAAATAGCAGTACTTGCATTTTTCTGGTGTGTTTTAATTGATTTGATTTTCAGCAAGTTGAACAGCACTCAATGTATACTAGGTACTATTTAAGTACAATTTATATTATTATAGTACAAGTGAACTAGACAAACTGTCTGACCACATTGTGTAATAAGTCCTAATGTAATGTTTCCACATTAATTGCTTGGCTCGCTGACACCATAGAGAAATTAAATTAAGAATAATTATGTAAATCATTTAATGGTTAACGCCTGTTAAATCCGCAGGTCTAACGGTATAGAACACAACTAAATGACAACATGCAATTAAATTAGGAAACAATACAACACATATTCTCCATTAGATTAATTACAGCAAATATGAAGGCATAGAAAGGACATGCAAGCAGATGGAAAAATTAATTTAAACAAGATTGCTGATGATTTCATGCATACCTGGTGATAAGAGCATGCTAAATCACCCATACTGAACACAAGCGGCTGAATTACAGGTGAAATCAACCGGAAGTGGATTTTATTCGTTAAATATTCTTTCGCAAACCGGATGGCAAATTAATAACGGTGATAAAACCCAAGAAAAATACTACCGTTTGACTTTGAACAGTTTACATCGGCGAATATCAACACAGAGGAACCAGGAAACGAGGCGCGTGCAACAACTAACTGCGTCCGGCACCTACAGCTGACGTGTCAGAGCGCGCGAGAAGTGAGTTCCGGTTCTGTGCTGATACTCTGTAAAGGGGAGAAGATCATTTTATTGAGTAAAGTATTGTTGAATATTGTTCCAACGTGAAGAAGTGAATGGAGTTGCATGGTGACAGTAAATGGGTTAAAGTTGTAGAGAATTATTTTCTTTATTGATTCATGTATTCATCCATTCATTGATACATATTTTTCTATTATTTATGCTACTTTCATAATAAGATCAAAAATCAAGAATAAATAGAAATCAGAATACTCTATTTGTTCAGTAGGTGATTGGGTTTTGTGACAGTTTCTACATAATAAAATAAATATAAAATAGAATACATATAATTATAAATGGAATACAAATATCCGAAGTGGGAACTGAGGGAAAAAAATGTTTTCCATTCTTCTTTATTTTTTATTTCCTACCTATTTAGGGTTAAAAAAAACATCTTGCAATTTAGACTTTTTAAATTTTATTTTATTTTTAAATGTTACAGTATGTCCACTGTAGAGGACGTCGGGACCATTTTAGTTTGAAAAGATAGCCAAGATTAGCAGTTAGACTATGTAACGTATTATGGTTATAGAGAGATATTAATACAAGAATACTTTCAGTTTTATTTCAAACATAAATAAGTAATTGATCTGAACATTGCTGTTTATTTGGTCACTAAAAAACTAGTTTGGTTTTTGGTGAATCTTTCCAGATCTTCAAAGACTTTGTAGTCAATGTAGTGGGAAAAGTACCTCATTGACTCCTGTCGGCACGGGCTGTAGTCATCTTGACTAGTTTTATGGATGTGGTCTCCATGGAAACAAACTTGGCATTCCTGAGGCAATTCTCATTTTTCATGGCTCCACTTAAAATAAAAACAACAATAAGACATACGTGCTACTCTTGGCCCACAGAGGGACATGTCTTTCCAGCTCGTCCCTATCCGTCTCTATGTCTGTGCGCTCATGGAGCCTCCTGCATCTTCCCCCCCTTCTTCTTGACCCTCTTCTATCCCAGGTGTGAAATCCTCATCTCTCTCATCATCTGAGAG